TTGGAAGTCAAAAGGAAGACTAGAGAAAGGAAAAAAAAATAAGATTGTTGTATTAAGCTTTTCAGTAACATTCTCGTTTAAAGCATCTTGACAAGATAAAATGATGATTTGAAAGGAAAGGATGTCAGGAATTTCATGCAGTGGGATGGCTCGATCTCCTAGAAAAAAAGCGCTTAACTGACACAGGCCGGCAAGGTCATATGGGATTCCTATGAGGCCTCGCATGAAGGTACAAGGCGAGCTCTCATGGATGGAATCTCATGAAACTTCTGAACTCACTTTTTATCCCACAATCACCTACCAAAGAGTCATTTGGACCATAGCCTGATCGATGGTGACATTCGGCAATCCAGCCACAATCTAAAATATAGCATTTCCCTTCAAATATTCCTTAAGAACCCAATGTGGTCCGAGAGGTTTCGAACTATTTACCATGAACTCACCATATCGGGGTCATTCCATCCGCCTGGGGCCTGTGCAGCTGCCAGAACATCCTGATTGGCGTCTACAAAGCGAATGATGTCAGAGATTGAGTTCCAGTTACCGATCACGTCTTCGTAGATCCTCCAGGAATTACATGCTGACCGTACTGCAGTGTAGTTCACCTTTAAATAATTACGAGATGAAATAATTACAATTGCAATCTCCGGTATTTTGCTGTTGTAGTAATCGTCGACAGCATTGTTTGTTCGGAAGATTAATCACAAATGAAATAAGATGTCGAGTTCCGAAGGCACATGGGAGTGAAATTACTTCTGAACACTTTNCAAAAACTTATGAGTTGTCGCTAAACGAAGTTCGAGCCCACCTTATCCTTTTTGCCATCTTTGTAGAAGAAGAAAGGCCAGCCACAAGCGTAAACAATCGGACGCCCAGTGGCATTAAGAGCGCGCTCCATTTCAGGATAGCCTAGGATAGCAGAATGTGAGCTGAATTGGGATAAGACGCGACAATGGCAGTTTATACATATTTTTACCATGAAGGGCTTCAGTTGTGTAGTGCCAAGTGGGGCACTATCACACGCACATGGATCGAATCCAATACCGGCCCACACCGGCTAGGCCTGACATCTCTTTGGAGACATTCAATAGGTACCAGACTCGTCTGGGAGGACAATAGTAGCGACTTGTACATTTGTTCGCCTTTCCACATCATTGTTTAGGTCACATACGCATTCGATCCCCACTACGATCCTGGGTTGAAGTCGAATGCGGGGCGCATCCGGAAAGGATTGGTTAATGTCAAAAGACGACCTCTTACTGAGTGACTATGTGACCTAACAAAGAGGTTCATGGAATATAGAGTCAAGAACTTTAAGAACTTGTTCGGGTAAAAAAGGGCCGTCATATGCTCATTGATATTGCAACTCTTGGGGTTTTGCCCGAGAGTGTCTAATTTTAGGGCATCGGCTCTACTGAGCAAATTTCCACCCACCGAAGGTATGATGCGACTCCATCAAAATATATAACGATCGGGAGCAACGAATGACCAAAGATAAATACCAACCCGATTACAGGTCGCGGTGGGGCTACCAAAAAGGAACTGCCGTGTAGATCGGGACTTTGTCTAGACCCCAAAACAGAGACGGCTCCATGAAGCAGGGTTAACAATTGCTCATTCCCTATGTTCGCAATTCACCAGTAGGCATCAGTGTAGTATTGACGTTGCACCCGTCGAACTTCAGATAGTCCACATCCCAAGAAGTGAACGTTTCGGCATCGATCTGGAAAAAAGCTTCTGCACTAATTATCCTGGCCTTGGTGTTACCCCGACTTCACCGCCCCTATTTATGTACCATTCTGATTAAGACGAATGAATGAGTTGGGCATGCCTCTCACTGAAATCATCTTTGAGTTGGCCCGTGTGAGTCTTTCGTCGGTTCAGTGAGACACTCTGAACACAGTTTTCTAAGAAAGCATTGAAAAAACCTCTTAAGGACCGCTCTAGCTATTCTGGGATGGCGAAGACGACTTTAGGTCCCTCTAGTCTGTGATATGCTGAATAGAACTCATTAACGTCTGATTAAAGCTTATAACTAAAGGCTCTCTTTTTTGCTTGGCACATTTTTGTGGGAAAGAACACATAGATAAATTCAGGGCTGGATGATTTTCCCTGTCACTCACTTAATACAAAAATGTTAGAATCGATACCTTCAGGTGATCCAAACTTCCAGGATATCCTTCGCAAGTTTTGGTGCCATAGTCTTCGTAGATACCAAGTTGCAGACCTCTGTCATGCATCTGAGACAAGTTCCATTTCCCTGCTTTCACGTATATGCAAAAATGTACAAGGAGCGGATGGTAAGGGCACGAGGGTGTAGCATTTACGGTAGAAGGCACAGTTCACTATAAAAATGGTTTCTGAGATTTCCCCAGGATTCGGGGTTCCCTGGTATGCCAGATCTGACGCTGTTAAGTGGTCGGAAAACGGCCTAGTTAGGGCGTTATAAAGAAACGTTTGCACCGTGTGTATCCTCGCACGAGTTTCACGGGCATTGTGGAGGTTGGTATGATCACAAGGGTGCCCATGTGGGAGGCTCAAGCAACTTGTTATGCCCCATAGTGACAGTGTAAGGCAGTTTTGTACAGTTTTGGCGTAATTTAGTCTGCTCTTTGCGCAACTGAAACGTCTGAAAACTCGTCCAAGTACCCCTATCATGTTATTTCCAAACTCTATGTCATGGTGATCTCGTCCATCTTGTACTCCCACTTTTCGAATAAAAATAGGTGCCTCAAAGTTATCGTGAACTGTGCCTTTAAGGTTCCGCTATCTATAAAATGGCAAAGTTTTAATGGAAAAGAACTGAACTGCTTATGGCAGGGTCACTGTCAGAAGTGTCATTAAAAAATATAAAATCTCTCACGTAAAGCAATCCTCAATTGACTTCAGGACCTTATAATGGTTTCGTTCTCCGTAGAGCCGCTTAGAAAAATTGTTTTTAGAGGCTATCTCTAATTATAACTGTTCACTGAGCAGAATGATAGCCCCTCTGGATTTCGTACTTTACCCTTTTGGTTATGCCTACCCTAACCCTGAACTGAGCATCGCTTTCCATGACAATTCACAGAATCGAAGGAAACGTCGAAAGCATTTCTAAAGACCGAAGAGGACATCAGGGGGACAACATTTCGTATAATGAAGAATATAACCGACATATTTAGACAACTTCTTTATTCCACTAGGAAAACGTTGGTGATCCGCCAGCAGTCGACCTGATTTGTCCCTCTCCCGTTCCATCCAACAGTCATCGATATGAACACGATTGTATCCAACGTCCAAAAAGCCGTCTTCCACTGAAAGGAAACCATTGGAGCTATTATCTAATAAAATCTAGAGCTTCGATGAATCGCGATGAACTTGGTCTTCACAGATCTCGACTGCAGCGAAAAAGTACATAATCTTACAACTATCTAACTTTCTTACTACCTACCTGACTAACTAACTATGATAACTTATGACAAATGGCCTAGCTCTACTACCAGGGACCTTTTGGAAATGTGAGATGGAGCAACGCAAAATTAATGGCGTGATAGGCTTAGACTTACCCAGTCGATCGGCCATCTCTTGGTAGAGTTTCTCATTGATACAATGATCTGGGTGAGATTCGCAGTTGATTTCACAGTAAAATGCTGTCCATGACATCCATCCCATTGGCGGCGTCCTTAGTAGATAGTTATAGTCATATGTAAATTCTTGTGATCACAAAACTATATGTTTACCTTACCTGGCGAGCCCGTTATCTAGGGATGAAACCGTGTGAAGCATAAAAAGAAATATCACTCGAGTTATCATGGTCATCCTGAAAAGTGTCGTGAAACTGTTGGTTTTCAATTCCTAGGAGTAGACATTCCATTCAAACTCATTGCCCAATATCTCAAGGAGGGCATTTTTCGAGGTATGAATTCGATCGAAGGCACATTTCACGGTAATTTTGGGGTACCATTTCGAAGTTAAAAGCATAAGTGTTGGTGGAGAATAAGACCAAAATTTGTCTTTTACTGCCATTGGAAATGGTGCAGCTTCTACAACGCCGCTAATGCACTTCCTCCTTCAGATGCGGACGTAAAAGAAGCCTGTTTTTTAGCACTTGTTGTGCTTTATGTGTCTGGGCCAATTTTCGGCCCTACAACACCTCATATCCCATAATTTGGAACCTCAGTTTGTCGTGTATGGATATCTCGGGGATAATTTTTATCGCAAGCTAAGCCTTCGAATGTTCCGAAAAAATGGCTGGGTGATTAGGCTGGAAGAGATTTATTTCCGAAAAAGGCCCAGGACTGGTTACAGTGGTAGGCAACTACGGGCATTTCTAGCTTAAAGGCACCGTTTACGATAAATTTAGGGTGCCCTTTTTTGACGGGAATTCTTAGAACTACTCTAGAATAAAGCGATAACAACGAAAAAAGCGCAAAAAACGATAAACAAAAAAGAATAGAAAGGGTCAAAAAAGAGCTAGAAAGGGGGGTTGGACGAGTTTCACATTGGAAGAACGGCGGTTATGTGAGTGTTCGGGCGAGTGCACGAAGGCGACGCAATGTCTGCAGTAGCAGACAACACACCCAAGCAGACAACTTCGCTCCAATGCGAAAGTGATGAACGAC